CTGGACTCTGAGGAGGAGGCGCCCAGAGGAGTGGGGCTGACAGCTCTAGCTCTACAGCGGAAAAGAGGAGAGAGCCGACTGGGGTGTTAGAGAAGCCAGGGTCCAGATCCCATCTTTACCACCTAGAATGCATTTCACATGGGGATACAGCCGCGGCCTCGGGTTGCAGTGAGGATTAAAAGAGCTAACATGTATAAAAAGCTTAGCAGGATACCCGGTACACAGTACGCCTTCAGTATGGTCTGGGTGTGGTAATGACTGTTTTCATTACTGCATATTACAGACACTAAAAACCCTTGTTATTAAAGAAAAAGGCTTCTGGAATTGCTGACATTTTCTGCTAAGTAGGAAAAAAGTTTACAGAATGATTCCAATTATGCACGCAGCTCTTCTTACACGTGTTTCTGGGTAAGATGTAATGTGAGTGCTAGTGTTTCATCTGCCTCCTCCCCCCAGAAGAGGGAAATCTGGTATTAATGCTTAATATTAGGCTGGTGCCATTCGTGTGCCAGAAACCCGGTGCCCGTGTACTTGCTGGTGCCCACGCTTGCCCTGGATGGCGTGAGGAATCTGCACTCATGATTCTGTGACCAGGGAAGAAGAGTATTAGAAACATAAAGAGGCTGTGAAAAGATGAATTTATAGTAGTAAAAATGATTAAATATATTTAATAATGTGATATTAATATATATTAAATAAAACAGTCAAGCATTATCTATAGAACACAGGCAAGACTAATAGGTATTAACACAAATAGCTCAAATTCCAAAAAGCAGTTATTAGACAAGCTACCTCTTAAATACCCAGTGCAGTTAGCTAGCATAAACAGTTGATAATGTAATGCTCAATTATCCAGAAGTTTTAGTGCTTTCTTTTCAAAAAAGAGAAGAAAGCACATCAAGATTAGAAATATGAGTATTTAGGAGATTACAACGAAGAGGGGAGGTAGGATGAGAGACAGAGGGTAGAAATTTTAAACAAATCCTGTGTTTAATTTACAATAAAACATGCAAAATCGGGAGTAAATGAGTGCTTTTCTTAAGAAAAATGATACTGGGAATAAACCCAAGGTTTCTGGAGGGGAATCTGTTGGGAGATGTTGCTTTTCACTGGGAACCCAATGAATCAGGAGATCTGGGGTGGGAGGAGCCCATGGCACATCCCAGAAGGAATGTTCAGCCAGCAGCTGGGTCTGGTAGGCTGACTCCCTGGTCGGTTGCCTGGCTAGCGGTATCAATGGTCAGCGTGCAGCTGGGTGTAGGAATCAGAGGGGCCAAGATTAAGTTGTCCAGGAGAATGTACAGACAGGACAAAGATCTTGGCAACAGCATGGAGGAGCACGCACATTTATAAACAGGCAGAGAAAGAGCAGTCCTCAAAGTGGGCTGAGACACCGTGGGCAGAGGGAGGCCAGAGCACGGCAGAACTCAGGGAGGAACGTTCCAGAGGGAGGGGATATGGGCATCACCAAAGGCTAGCTGCTCATTGAGATTAGAATGGCAAAGTTCTTGGTTTACTTAAAATGCTGGTGGCCTTGACAAAAGCAATGTTACTTTCAAACTCTTGTTCAAGTGATACTGTCCATGCTGTACAAGTTTTGTAGAGAACAGGCTAAAATACAGACAGCTTTTCATTTTACTTTCAAAGCTGGTATAAAATAAGATCCATTCCTGTGTGGAACAGAACAGTGTGCACAAGCCCAGTTCTTCACGTGGACACGTCATCCCTTAACATTAACGACAACCAGTCTGTGCGTGATCACTGTGTGCTGGATAGTGTTCTTAGTAACATGATTGGTTTAATCCTCACACCAGCAATCATTAAAAAAATCAACAAATGGAATGTATAAATATACTAAAAAAATTATATCAACATCCATGAATTAATGTTTAATTGTGAAATATTATATTATAAAATATATGATATAAAATATAAATGAATCAAGGAGAAAATTTTTATGATTTCAGTTTGCTGGAATTCCACCACATTCTGATAAAATTGATTGAAGCATGATAAATAATATCTATCTCAAATAACCAACACAGTATTTGGTGGTGAAATGTCTTTTCTGTTTAGAGAAAAACAAATGAGAATTATCCATCATCCTCACTTTTGAGTATAGTTTGAGAAATTTTAGCCAGTACAAGAATGTAAATACAAGAACTAAACAGGATTACTATATCTCTAAAAAAAGGCAGAAGTGATCATTATATGTAAATGTTATGAATGCAAAGAGAAGAAATGGAAGAATACAGTGCTGTGTGTCGGGTTGGTTTCAAAATAATGGTGGCTGCCTTTGATTATGATCTTTATATGCCAAGCCCTGTGTGGGGACATTGTATAAATTATTTTCATTAATTTTGGTCACCAACCATGAGACGCGTTTTAAATGACAAAAACTAGTAGTGAGACTGGAATTCAGACTCAGGTCCTATTTGACTCTACAGTTGATTCTCTTGATGACCCTACTGTAAGTGGCTGCAAACCATCCTCACACCTCTACTGCTTGCACACGTGTGAAAAGTCAGAAGTGTTTCTAGACATTAAGAGAGAATTCTCAGAAGGTATGGTAGAGTGATACCGTATTCACAATCAGAATTAAGAGCATAACAAAATAGAAAACTTTACACCAATATAAAGAACTCAGTACCCCTTTCTGGTGACCTAAAGAAGATGGAATATTGATATTGTAAGATCAATTTTTTCCTTTACTTATAGGTATAATGAAACTGAAATATGTTCTGAAATTTCCTTAAGGTCCATATGGAAGAAAAAATGGATAGTTTGAGAGAAATGCAGTTTTGAAAGTACGTGTATTTGTGGAAGGGCACAAATATTGCATGTCATAACTACAAGAATCTGATTCTTACCCACAATACAAGCATGAGTCAATGCAACAGAACTAAGTATCTGGAAGCTACTGCACAGCATGTGATGTAAAGTTGTGACAAGGGTACATATTTAATATTCCATGATAAAATGCAATCTACATAAGTTAAATCACTTAAGATTTCCTGTATATGGTGTATGCATATAGGCATGCATTGCCTACCAATGAGAGTACATTCTGGAAAATGTGTCCTTAGGTGATTTGTTGGCTGTATAAACATCATAGAGTGTTTTTACATAGAATCAGGTAATAGAGCCTGCTTTACTCACTCCTGGGCTCTGAGTTATAAACTGTGGTATATGTGGCTTATTGTTGATTGAATTTGTATGTGGCTCATGACGGTGTACCTCTTTGAGTGTTTGTGTGCCTGAAGATGTGTGTGTTTAATAGATCTCGGAGTCAGGATGGCCTTTTTATATGACACGTATGGACAAATTTGAGATGTGATAATGTTACATGATGACCAAGTGTTAAGAATCTTAATAAAGTATTTTTACAAGTAAAAAGAAAAGACTAATCCTCAGTAGAAAAGAGCGCAGAAAATATTAAGAAGTTTGTAAGAAGAGAAATGATGACGAGCAGCAAAAATAAAAAAATTATGAATATCACTGTTGATTACAGAACGTAATGACTATTACCAAACAAAATGACTGTACGCATTCCTGGAGGGAGAATAAATTCATATACAGTTCTAAGGAATGACTTGACATTATATGTAAAAGCCCTTAAATATAAATCATAATTTTTGGTCCAGTAATTCTAACTCTTGGCATTTTCCAATTGAGATAATTAAAGTTATGTGCAAAGGATAATTATTGCTCTAATTTTTATAATAGTGAGAAACTAGGATTACATTACATGCCCAACATTAGGAGGCTCTTTAAATAAATTATAGACCATGTCGTGGAAAAGTATGCAGGAATTTTAAATAATCTTATAAAATATTTAATAGCATGGGGAAAAGTTTATAATATACAGTATTTTTAAGTGGTTAAAAAGTAGGTTATATGACTGTGAATATTATTTGTGTTGTGTGTGTTTAAATCTAGAGAGATTAAAAAATATTAATCCTGGTTGTCTCTTAATTGGTGGATTTGTAAGTGATTGTATTTTTGTTATATATTTTAAATCATTTATATTTTTTAGGTAAAATGTGTTGTTTTGACAGAATAATATCAACAGATGTTCGAAAGATACTTATGCAAATTAAAAAATTCACCTCCCAGTGTTTATTGCTGCCTAATAGGAGTGTTGGCAATTGTTATTAAGTCCTTTGTATCTTTTACTTTACTTTGCTCATGCATTTAAGAAACATAAAATTTAAACCACAGACTTGAGAAATGAAGAGGGGGAAAAGAAAGAATGAAGGAACAAACTCTGAAAACTCTATAGTAGTACAGTTATTGAACAATATCATGTCTTCATTCACTCATTTGTTTTAGAATTGCTAGGTGCCTACTGTGTGCTAGGGTTGGTCTTCAACAAGGTGAACACAGTGGAGAAACAAAGTGAGTTCTGCTCTCGCAGACTTGGCAGTGGTATCTATAATAATGTGCAGGTTGCTAAATATGATGGCAAATTGTGAACATGTATTTAGCAAAAAAATGGTTTTTTAAATTTTTTCAGCAAAGGGTTTTATGAGAATAAGATCATATGTTTTTATATGCATAGATACAATATTTGAGAGAATTACTATAAAAGGTGATATTTAGAAGAATAAGTGGATCAAAAATTATTCTTGGGAAACAGGAGAGAGGCAAAATAGAAGAGGAAATACTGTGAAAGTAGTGTTCGATGGTTGTATATTTTGACTGCTTGAAAATGGTCACAGAATTGTAGGGGGCATGTGCTTTAAGGAAGAAACAATTAGATAATTTTAATAATCCTGGAAGTTTGAAATGGTGTTCTAATGGGAAGTCATAAAATTATTATAACTTCCAAATTTGTGTATGAATTAACCAGTGTCAATAGCAAAACCCCCAAATGATGGCGTCCCTTGTGCACCAGCTCTTAAGATGGCACCAGAAACTTCCTGGTACTTGTGAAGACTCAGTACAAGCTTTGTTTTATGGCCCGTATGCAGACTCAGAGAGGCTTTTTTGTCTTTCAGCATTAAATGAACCCACCATAGACTATGGCTTCCAGAGACTGCAGAAAGTTATTCCAAGGCATCCTGGAGACCCAGAGAGATTAGCGAAGGTAACGTGCTTTGGAGATAGACATGGAAATCTTTCTATAAAAATTCAGCAAATATTAAAAGTTCAGCAAAATTAGGTAAATCCAGCCACTTAACTCCCATTGAAATTAATCAAGCCTTGGATTGGCTAGACTTAAATACCAGATGAATGCAAAGTTTCTACTAACTATGAAATATGTTTAATCTTGGAGGAAATCTGAAAATTTGGCATATAAAATAGATTCACTACAAGAATATTCAATATATAAAATGTTGTCAATTTCGTGAAAATAAATATTTGCCTAGTTGCTTAAAAGGGTAGCTTTCACTCCTTTGTATTTAAATATAATTTTTTTACCCATAATTGCAGGAAGGTATCAACCCATAACCAAGTATTTATCAAGGGGCTAATTTGTACATCAGAATATAATAAAGCCTCTGTCCACACATCTGTAAAGTGTATCATTTTTCAACGAATTTACTTATGAAAACTACATTGTAGATCTGACCCATAGTGTAGACTGTCTTTTAAAAAAATACATCATTTTATTAGTTGTCATTCAACTAATGAGAAACTGTTAAATGTTGACATTTATACTTGCACTTCAAATGTCCAAATTATAATATACCTTGTGCTCTATTCTGTACTGGGAGTAAAATCCAAGTACTAGTTGCTTCACACCTTTATTATCCTCCTGGAAAAATCCCCAGCCCCACCATTAAATTAGATGATATCTGGAAAGTAGGTTAATAGCAATTTAAAAGGCTGTAAAAAACAGGAGGTGGAAAAGACAGAATGAGTGGAGAGGGATTAGTGCTTAGTAATTCTCTCTGGTTAAAGTGAACAGGGGGAAATATTATTGAACGAATCCATCTTTATTGGAATAAAATTTTGCAGAAAGCAGTGCCAAGATGATTTCAGTACTCTGGACAACTCCTTGGCAAGCAGCAAAGCTCAAGTCCATCAATCATTTTGAGAGCATTTGGTTAATTAGAGCACCAGAGTTTTTCAATACAGTGCTCTGAAAGTAGCTTGTAATAGAACGTCCATGATATTAAGTTTAACCAACTCCACCCTCAGTTTGGTTGACTTTCTTTTTTGTCTGGGACAGTACAACCTTCTGCAGAGCCACTGTGTAGCTGTGAACTTCATGTAGATACCTAATTGGTAGAAACCTTTAAAAGGAATGAGTATATTCTACCTGTCAAATCAAGTATTGAGCCTAATGGTAATTACTTACCTTTGGAAGGGATGCATAGAACTTTTTTAATCTGTAATTTTCTCTAGTTTGTCATTTTGAGTTTTACTGTTGATTGTACCCCTTTTCCCTTTTTAAAAAAATTTTATTTATTTATTTATTTTTGCAGGAAATGCTGTTAAAAAGAGCTGCAGATTTAGTGGAAGCCCTCTATGGTACACCCCACAATAACCAGGTTAGACCCCTCAATCTTATGCCTTAGTAAGTTGGTCTCCTCATGGTGGATGAAATGCTCACTCTAATCTTCCATTTTGTAGGACATCATTTTGAAGCGAGCTGCAGACATTGCTGAAGCCCTCTATAGTGTGCCCAGGAATCCCAGCCAGATTCCAGCTCTTTCCAGCTCCCCAGCGCACAGCAGCATGATGGGAATCAATTCATATGGCAGCCAGCTTGGAGTTAGCATCTCTGAGTCAACACAAGGAAATAATCAAGGTACTGCCTTTCTCAGAGTCAGAATTCCAACCTGTCTTCTACATTTAAGAGACTGGCTCTGGGGGAGTAACAGAGCATCAGCCAACCCAGCCAGAAGAGTGTCCCGGATAAGCCACACCACCACGGATTCCATTGTTTCAGCATCAAAGGTGGCATATTGTCAGATTCTAACTTTCTGGGTACCATGTAGGTCCCATTTCCTGGAAATACTCAAAGGGAAGGTTGCCTGTGATCACTGTAAAAGGGTTTAGCCATATGGGAACTCGGTTTACAGGTATTAATTGAATACAATTTATACTTCTACTATTGTTATAATCAGGTTGAATAATAAAAAAGCTAATTATCATTGTGAGCATTTATTATACCCAGCTCTCTCTTTTTTGTTAACCAAGAGTAAGCAACTTGCTTTTATTTGGTAATATCTCTTGTGTATTATCTTTTATGCAAATACAGAGGCCTTGTGTTCTCTCTTGCATGGCTGCCTGCCCTCAGATGGTAGTGTGTACTTTTGTTCCTGCTTTTACTTGGCCCAAATTGCTCTGCAGAATCTATTTCTTTTCCTACCTTTAATAAAACTTTGTTGCCTTTAAAAATAAAAACGAATATATAGCAATGAACTCATATAACCAGCTAGACTTACACCAAGAAAGTATATGTATATATAATATATGTATATATATATATATATATATTTTTTTTTTTTTTTTTACTGAGGACGACTTCATTATTAAAGGGCTAGTATATCATAAATCACTTTTAAAAGGAGTAACTGTCCTAACACACAGTTGGGACTGCTGTGACAGAACCTGGGGATAATTTACCTTTAGTTTTGTCCATCTGTTGGAAGAGAGCTCCTTATTCTTTTTGCCTAAGGTGAGTTTGTCCTACAAAAGAGCGGGTGGGATCTAATATGTCTTCAAGAGACGCACAGTATATACCACCTGCCTACCCTGCTTCCCCTGCCCATCCAATACTTTTCTCAGTGACTCCACTTAAACTCTCAAAGGACTCCAGTGTCCTATGAGATACAACTAGAGATCGCTTCCCTCCAGTTCCTTCCTGTGAGCTGGACATGCTAAGTGCAGGTGTGAAAGAAGAAAGAGCGGATATCAAATGCAGAAGACTTGCTTATTGGATATAAAAATACTGCTGGAGCTCAGGAATAAGTTCTAGTGCATGGCATAGTTGCATGATCACAGTTAATAATTTTCTGTCTATTTCAAAATAGCTTAGAGAGAGGATTGTAAATATTTCCTACACCAAGAAATGATAGATACAGTGACAGATAAGTTGGTTCCCTTGATTTGATCATTGTTATGTTGTCTACATGAGTCAGAATATCACACAGCATGTACTTTATGGGTTTCTACAAATGCTATATGTCAATTTAAAAACTTAATCTGAAAGCAAACTCTCCTTTCCCATGGCTACCCAGGAGTAGCTCGGGGTATGATGGTCTGGGCCCCCGTGGACCTGTGCTATCCGTGGGTGCTGCTTGGTTTATCTGGACTTTTCCTTCCTTGTCAAGGGTACATCCGCAACACAAGCAGCATCTCCCCTCGGGGATACTCCTCCAGCTCCACCCCGCAGCAGTCTAATTACAGCACCTCCAGTAACAGTATGAACGGCTACAGCAACGTCCCCATGGCCAACCTAGGCGTTCCGGGATCGCCAGGATTTCTGAACGGCTCGCCCACAGGCTCCCCGTATGGAAGTAAGTGCCCCACCATCACATGGCTCTGCAGGCCTCTGTGTCTCTGAGTTTTACCGTTCCAGCATTTGGAGGGTTGGGAGGTAGAGAAGCTTCACTGCTAAGTCTTACTAACGTATGGAAATTAAGCCCATTCCCTGATGAAATATCCTTCCCGCCCTTCGTTTTTTCCCCTCTACCCGGACTTCAATTCATCAGGCTATGCAAAACCCCACAGGAAAGAAAGAAAACAGGTGCATTAATAGATGTATTATGTTTTTTAATCTTTATAAGGACTTTCTGAAGTTAATATTTCCATGTTGTAGGCAAAGCAGCTTGAGCTCTTGGCAGCTAGCTAATTTACCCAAGATCATTGGGCCAGAATGGAGAGAGGCAGTAATTTTGGCACAGATTTTGATGGCTTTAAGTTATTTGGTTACATTGTGCTAATTCTTTTTCTTTGTGGCATGGCTTTCTTCTCCCTTAAGTACCTCCAGAGAGTATGTCATGTTACAGTATATGGAGATAGAACCTCTTTGTCTGTGGTCTCACAGCAGAGTTCATGGCTTGGGAAGTTGTGAAAACCCATTTGGGGCACTTTGGGAGTGAGCTCAGGAGCTTACACAACCGTCCCAGGACCCTGAGAGTGTGTGCTTTTCAAACCTACATGGGGAACACTTCAGGCCAGGGCACATGGCGGCATGCAGAGCCCAAGTGAGTGAAGATGGTGCGCTTGGAATGCTGAGTGTGGTCACGAAGCCCTGCAGCTCACCTTCTTGTCACCAAGAATAGGTCCCTTGTGCCACGAGCAAAGGCATGTCAGGGTCAACACACGGCCATGTCTGCCATGGCCCGGAAAGCAACACGGAGAGCAGGCTGCATCTCACAGCCTTTCAGCCGTTGGTTTCCTGGGAACACACATGAGTTATTTCTGGGTCACGTGTTCAAGTTGCAGTCAGCACTGCGCCATGTGGGATGGGTGTAGCACCGAGTAGCAGATGGTCATGGAGGTCGTTTCTTTCAGAAGAGCTGGAATTCTGTTGCTGCAGAGACATGTATCTTGTCATATGACCCAGGTTAGTTACAGTGGTCTAAGGAATGAATTATGGACTGATTGATTTTCTTACTTGTTTTTTTACATTGTACCAAAAATATTTTGAGGATTCATAGTAGTCAAATGGTAGTGGGGACATACAAAATAGAAACTAATAGGAACGTGAGATTAAAAAAAAAAAAAGAAAATATGTTTAGGAAAATTATAAATCTAAGAGCAAGGGTAGCTAACATTTAGTTCCTTCAAAGGAACCCTTAATTTGGTTTTGACTATGCAATGCTAAAGCCAAGACAGGAGTGTTGTTGTAAGACTTTATGTCCACACGTTACTCTTTGAAGGAGCTTAGAAGGAGCGTGGACATTGTTGCTGCTGAAACCAGAGGAAGGAAGGCCTTCCCCCACTTCCTCAGGGGTGAGGCCCCCACTGTGGAAAGGGGCCACCTCTTTAGCAGTCCCACAAGGGGCACGTTGCCAGGAGAGCCATTGGGCAAATACTGTCACAGCATCAGGACGGCAGCAGCAAGAGTAGTTGGCAATCGCATTACACTTCTAGCTTACAAAGCATGTCCTCACCTAGAGTCCAGGTAGATCCTCACAGTGACCTTGTGACGTGGGTTTAATAATGATCCTGATCATTTCCTTTCTAAAAGAAGCTTGGTCACAGCCAAGAAGTAGTAGATATTGAATTAAAGCACCTGTCACTAGACTCAGAATGATGTTTTAAAATTATTCAATACTATGAAAATATTTAACATGTTTATAGCGTATTTTCAGACTGAACCAATTAAAATTCTCTCCATTTGACACTTTTTATAGATTAAAAAATTGGTTGGTCAAATAATACAATGTATGATGTGGTAGAGAAAGAGAGAGAAGAAAAAAAGAGTAGAAGAGAAAGAGACAGAGAGGCAGAAAGAGACTCAGACACAGACTCAGATGAGCGTTCATTGCCTGGTGTTTCTTACTAGATAATCCTTCTGGTAGGAAGGAGTCCTTCCCACTCCTGCAAGTGATTTTCTGATCACTGAACCCCAGTGCCACAAGAAAATCTTTAAGTCATCTGTTTGAACAACAGCATACACAGAAGAAGAAAAAGAGGAAGAGAGGCTTGCATTCTGCCTCATCATGAGTGGGAGAGGCAGAGAGGACCCTTCTTGGCTCCTGTCGTGCTGTGTGTCAGCATTTGCACCTTCAGTCCTGGGGAAGCATCTGAAGGAATTGTACACTGGGCTTGGGATTCCAAATAGTGCATTGATTACAATCAAATTCCCCCACTTCAGAAATACCAGATACCCAGTGGAGTTTATCACAGTAGCACCTGCCCTGAATTTCTAACCCATGAAGTCTTCAGTTCTCTGGGAAATATTTATACACACACACACACACACACACACACACACACACACACAGCCCAGGGGAAAGAAAAGATTTTGTCAGTTCAGTTGCTTGTATCTGTAAACACAATCCTTTGCTTTTGTGTTCCATTTTTTAAATAAGTCTGATGTAGCTGGGCCATGGAGCAATCACTTGCCAGAAACGTTAAGAAAGAAATAAGGCCAAGCCTCTCAGGCAAGTTTGACTTGCATTACAGCCAGTGCAGAGGATCAAAAACCTGTATCTTTCCTGCTTTTGCTCTCACACAACTTCAAAAAAATGGCCAAACAGATGTTTTTTCAATTTTACATACAAACTTCACTTCCTGGCGGTAGCTGTGTGTGCCAAGTTCCAGCTCAGTGCAAGTTTTTATGGCTGAATTCTAAGCCCCTGACAATAGGGGGTTATAATGAAATGCTGACAGACCCCTGAGCGCCAGCAAATGCAATGGCTCGGTGCAGAGGAGGATGTGTGCCCGGTGAGATCCAGCTGGGACCATGCAAGCCAATCAATCCTTGTAAGAAGAAAAGTAGTTTTTTCTGAACTGCCCACATTCACATAGGTTTCTGGGCCAGACGTGCTTGCCTTTAGTTGGCCTTTGTCCATGGAGAGATAGATGTCCAGAGAAATTCTCAATTGGCAGTATGTATGATCAGCTTTCCTGAAATGATGTGCTCTGTTGTCCCCAAAGATGGTCCACCCTACAAGCCTGCAACACCCATGGGGACCACTTCTTCCAGAGTAGAACAACCACCAAGCCAACCCAAAGTGTGGGACGGTATCCATGCCGGCAGGAAGCCAGCCTGTCAATTGAGATTCCTACTTCAGTTACAGAATCTTAGACCAGACCCTCGGCTTCAATATTTTTATATTTGCAGAAATAAATATTAAAGCATTTTCTATTGTAGAATATTAAATGATCGTTGTTGAAAATGTAGAACATATGGCCATAGTTGTTTTTTTTTTTAAAAGAAAGCCCATTCCTACTCTAAAAAAAAACCTCTTTTATAACAATTGGATGTACTCTTTTAGAAAAAAACTTCTATAATAACATTACAGACATCTTGAATAGCATGTATAGGTTAAAAAAGAGAAAAGGACATACTATTTCTATGCAGAGATAACATTGTTAATTTTTAAAATACATTTTTTGTAGTCAGGGATAGATACAGTTTGAAAATTGCAGGGTTTGTCCAGCTGTACATCTGATGAGATTCTGCTATCAAATCAGTGAAGGAGGAGTGGACGGAAGCAGGCTGATACAGCTGGCTGTGACATGATCACAGACATGGAGCCAGGCTGCATAAAATCCTTTAGTGGTGCAGCCTTGGGTCCTGAGCATGGAGTACAGATATTTAAAAGGATGTTGTTTTTTTTTTTCAGAAATGAATTACAAGCATCATCTTTCCATAGAAATTTGAGAATGTTAGGCTCTGCTTTTTGTGTATTACAGGAATTAATAGACAAACTTCGCTTACAGACAGTAAAGCTGTAAATCAGACAGTTTAATATCACTTGGGAAAGCTGTCTGCTTACTGCTAAGGACTTCATTATTTCTTAGCAATGAAACAGAAATTTTCTTATTTTTAAGTTTTTATAGCTTTTATTGATTTCTCCTACATTAAAGTAATACATGTCTATTACATATAAAAAAAGAAATTTTGAAAGAATAGACAAGTAAAAGGGCTACAATTTAAGAATACTCAAAATTTCATCACCCAGAGACATCGTGGCTAAAATTTTGCATATACATCCCACACGTCTACATTTTGCTATATGTATTTTTTGTTTCAGTGAAAGTGGGTTTGATGTATGTTATTATGTAATTGACTTTTTCCACCTGAGGGGGAATATATTTCCATACTAAATATTTTTCCAGTGCTAGTTTTAAAGTTCATATAACATTTTATTGTGTGGATTTAACATAGTTTACTCTAGTGAAGGTCACTTAACTTATTTCTCAATTTTTCATTTTTATTGGAACACCCTTGGATATATTTTTTGCATATTCATGATTATATCCTTGGGATTAATTTCTAGAGATTAAATTAGTAGGTTAAAGGATACACGCATTTGAAAATACTTTACTGTGTAATGCCAAAATCCCTTCGGGGAGATTGATTCTTCCCTCAGAAGATAGGGCATATATGTCTCCTTGTCCTGTGAATTTTTCCTTAATCTTTATTAATTTAGTAAGTGGAAAATAACATCTTGTTATCATTTTAATTAGCACTTTATTATTAATCGATTTGAGTGCTTCTCTATGGGTCTCTTGGTCATCTCATTTCTCCTCTTGTGATTTCCTTTTGGTGTCCTTTGCCCATTTTCCTACTGAGGTAGTTTTCTTTTTCTAATTAACTTACAAAATCATATGAGCTGTTGAGGACACAAACATATCTAAATGAGTACTGCAGTTTTAACTTGTCATTTGTGCGTTCTCTCTGTCTCTGTCTCTCTGTGTCTCTGTCTCTGTCTCTCTGTCTGTCTCTGTCTCTCTGTCTCTCTCTGTCCCTGTCTCTCTCTGTCTCTCTGTCTCTGTCTTTGTCTCTGTCTCTGTCTCTCTCTCTCTCTGTGAGTATTCTACATTTCTCAGTATATGTCAGGTCCATCCTGTAAATTACAGTTTAGGCTTTGGTGCTGAAAGAATTATGTAAATTGTATAACCTCTCTACCTTTCCTGCTAGCACTTTTGTGATTTTGTTTTCACAGATACTGCTTAATCTGTTTAGCTCTACTTTGATGTTGAACATGAAGATACAGTCTCAATTGGAGTCCCCAAATTGTTGCCATATTGTTTCTATGAGTTTTTTCCCTACTAATATAACAATGAAGTGTCACCTTTATTCCGTCTCAGTTCTCATACATACCCAGAACTATTTTGGGACTCTTTTGCTCCAAGGACTTGTTTGCCTATTTCTGTGTGAGCATTAAACTAGCATCACTGGTGCAGATTTATCATAACTTTCAGTATCTCAATTAACGCCCCCCCTTTCTACTTAAAAGAAAATTTTGATAAAACTCTCTGACTCTTACAGTCTCATTATTGAAACATATAAACACAAAAATTGTGTGTGCTAAACTACATGAGTTAAAATTCCTTTTAGAATTTGCGATACGGCTGCATTAAATTTTAAATTAATTTGACATTTTTATGAAAGTTTCGTTAAAAAGTATTTACGAGGCTCTGTGGTGTCTCCACTCTGTAGCAGTTCTTTAATGACTCTTAGTAAAGCTAGAGACAGCTCCTTCTCCTAAGAAGCAAATGCGTTCGAGCCACACTTCAGGTTGGGATCCATTAGCAGGAAGAACAAGTTTGTAACAGTGAGGTCGATGAGATCAGAAGGGGACACAGTGTGCGTGGAAAAGCCCTGATCATGCTGGAAGAGGCTGGCGCCCGCTGCTGCCAACTCAAATCCTGTACTACAGTAGAGCGGTCTGCAGCGAGAACCAGAGCTTCCTAAGTCTCAGCTTCGCTTCTGCCCTGGCTTCTGCGCCTCCTAGAAAAGGAAGAGTTGTCTTTTGTTGTTGTTTTTTGTCTTTTTGAGACAGGGTCTCACTCCGAAGTTCAGGCTGGTCTTGAACTCACTTTGCAGCCCAGACTGACCTCGAACTTGCAACAACCCTCCTGCCTCGAGAAGCGGCCTTTTATTTCCTGGTTGCATGGGGTGTGAGACTAAGGCTGGAAGAGGAGATTTGGGTTGGAATTATTAGTAAGACCCACTCCTGGTGCTTAACCTGCATCCTTTCTTGGTAGGCTGAGTTACCCCAATTTCTTACGCACGCAGCCCTTCAAGTATTATACAAGGCTCTTCCTGAATTCTTTTCTACCTTTTTTTCCTTTTACTTATATTGACTGAAGAAAGAGATGTGGAGGTACTCAGTTACTCTTTCTCCTGAGTTTTAAAAATCAGGGCCAGGACTACCTAAGAATAAGTAGTGTTTAGAGAGAGCTTTGTTTTGTGTTTTTTTGGTTGCTTTTTGTTTTGTTTCTTCGGTTTGCAGCTCTGCTATAAATGACATTGTACTATTGGAGGTGACCTCTATGAATGCTCATAGGTTGCATAACTGCACTATAATTTTATATATGTTTACCATAAGACATCGAAATACTCGACCTTCAGTTCACTTTGTACTTGTCAATCCTCCTTCCAGCCCTCCTCCTTTTTCTGTGTGTATTTTTTATTTTGAGACAGATTCTTGCTAAGTTGCCCAGGCTAGACTTGAATTTGTAATCCTCCTGCCTCAGCCTCCCAAAGTGCTAGGATTGCAGGCATGGACCATCACACCCACCTCCTTTGTTCCGTTTTTTTTTTTTTCTTAAACCTTTGTGAAATTTACTCCGCTTATGAACAAGCAGAGATAACAGATAAAATTCTCTTTTGCACCATGCAACTCGTTGAGTTATCTGAAGTCAACAGGTAGGCCCCTTCCTTGTGTCAGTTGCCTTTATTTTTCTTGGAAATCATAGCCCTTTCCTTTTGGCTCCCCTTACGTGATTTTAATGTTAGTAGTGTTAATATTACTGGGGTTTTCCTACACATCACGTCTTGGGAGGCAGCCTTACAGCTTTATTTCCCAGGAGCCCTGGAAGTCCAAGGAGAGGGGGCGATCTGCTAAATGTTAATAAAGTTTTACACTTAATGAGAAAGTGGCCCATAGAGATGCTCTCTCTGTGAAGATGTTAACCCTGTACAGCAAAGCTTTGGGGCCCTGGGGGTAGCCAGTGTGGCACATAGCTCCCAGAGAGGCGTTCTTGGTGGGGTACAGGAAAAGGCCCTGAGGCTGGGGAATGGGCGCTTTTTCAGGCACACTGGTCTTAGTCTCCAATGTCATGCTTCCCATGCATGCTGCCCGGTCACACCTGCTCTGGCTGGTGCCTCCTCCAGCCTCCCAGGCAGGAGTGCGCCATCTTCCTGGCTCTGTGGTGTCCCTCCAATGAGATCACTGCCACATCACTAGTCACATGTGTCTGGTCCCCACCTCCAGCCCCCTCCATGGACACAAGGAGATTGCTAACACATTCCTCTTAAAAGAATATCCCTGGAATCTGGAACAATGCCTTGAAATCCATGACTTCTCAATAAAACTGTGGCAGATGGGGGTACTGAAGAAGGACCTGACTTTCTGGATGAGCCCTGTTCTGAAGCAAGCTGTCCCTTTGCTTTCCAGTCATGTCATCAAGTCCCACCGTTGGCTCTTCCAGCACGTCCTCCATCCTCCCGTTCTCCTCTTCAGTTTTTCCTGCTGTCAAACAGAAGAGTGCCTTTGCCCCTGTCATCAGGCCCCAGGGCTCCCCTTCACCTGCCTGCTCCAGTGGCAATGGAAACGGATTCAGAGGTAAGCGAAGGCAGGGCTGCGGGGGCGCCTGGGACAGGTGTCTTGGGGCCTGCAGAGCCATAGCAGAAGAGAGCCTGGCTCCATAGCTCTCACCATGCACCCACAAAGAGATGCTGTGGTGCTTCCACCCCGGGTCATGAGTGGCTTGGCCGCTGGGCTCATATCCCATCTACAAGAAGGAGAGGGAGGGGAGGATGTCACCAAGCACAGATCCCAGCTTCACTTGGGGGAGCATATGCAGTGAGGAATGTCTCCCCAGTGCTGTGGCACTGTCCCTGGAAGGTGCGTGGTCACCCCCCCCCCATACCACGTGGCAAGTACTTTTTACCTAGCTTTCTTGCTGTCTGCAGGGCATCCACCTCCCCAGGGCACACATGCAGGGAGCCATCAGAAGCAACCAGCAACTTCCGAGAACTCTATCACATGCTAGCCAAATTGATAGCAGGTGCCCGGTGAGGGGTTGGGTAGGGAAGGAAGAGGAAGAGACATCCTGCTTCTAAGAGCAAAAATTAATATCACCCGTCAAACCCACTTTTGAGCGGCATCCTAAAATATGATATGACGTAACATAACACAAATGTGATGAGAACATGAGAATCTAATCATCCTGTCGTCAATGGGAGGCAGCTGATGGCAAGAGAGCAAATTGGAACCTGCTGAGCACAATGGCTCACGGGCGACCCATGCTTCTTGCAGGCTGTTCTTCATAGCTTGACGTGCAAACATTCGTGACAGGCAGTGCTGGATAAAACCAAAAGGGGCGAGGCTCGGTTAACCCCTTGTGTGCCAAAGTCCCTGAGGTCAGCCGAGCTTGCCTGGGGTGACGGGAGTCCTGGAGACCACCACTCCTGGCAGTTTGATAATAGCATATGACTTTCTTCAGGGACACCTGTGAACAGACTGGCACAGGTCCATTAGGTTCCTATGCTGCCTCATGAGAGGATGGCACCATCTCAGAGTCAAGTGACTTGACAGAGAAACTGTACAAACCATAAGTGAACACCCAGCACTCCAAAGAGTCATGGAAGTCCTTTCTGTTCTCAGTAGACAAAGCAGCTAGGACTCCGTGCCATCCAACATGTGGGTAGTTAGAAACATCTGTACATTCTATGGGACTTTTGCTTTTGGTTTTCATCCGGATGTCTAAGCCGTGAAGCATGCAGCCTGTAGTTAAGCATCCCCAACTGCTCGCCTCTCTCACCCAGGACCGGTGGCTTCCATGCCATCACTAGTGGGTAGGCGAGTGGTTACTGCATGGTGGCTACATTTCCAGTTAGAAAGGAAAGTGCTTGCTGAACACTGACTTCCACACAATGCTATGAATGCAGGCTTCATTCATAGACCTCAGACTGAGAGTAATGCAGAGTGAGAGGGAAAAGAGAAGCAAAGGGGAGCCCAGCTTTCCTCCATGTTGGCCCAGGAGGAAGACAGGAAGGAAATGGACTTCCGGTTCCGGCACTCCAGAAAACTGGTTCAGCTTCACTTTGCGGGGCAGGGCAGGGGATGTCATTTGACCTCCACCTACCAACCAATCCCTTTCCTGTCTCCGCTCTCACATGTGCCATGAATTTGGGGGCATAGAGCTGGCTGTCTGAAATCTTCTCCTTGAGGGTCTTTTCTGACTGGACGGCTCATTAGTGGAGGCTGTCAGTCCTCAAGGCCAGGACAAAGTTTTTACAGGCACCAGTGGCCTTTGTTCCCTACCCTGCCTCTTGCTGACTTGCCCAGGCTCCCTGTGGTTTCAGCAAGAGAGCCTTGTGTGGTCCCAGTGAGGTTCCGGGGGGTCAGCTGCAGCAGAAATCCTGGAGGACCCTCTCCAGGGTCCTCAGCCACATCAGTTTCCTGTTACCACCCGCCAGAATGGTGGGGCTGGGCCCGAGGCTGTGCCTGGAGAGCGATGGCTTAGCCACTGTAAATTCCAGCTCTGTGCTCAGCTTCATTTCTACAGAACCACTGCTAAGTCCTAACTCTTTTGAAACCTATGGTTCCTCTAAATTTCCCTGGTGACTTGAACCTTATAAAAGAAAAAGGAGGAGGCCAAGGGGGAGAAGGAGAAAGAAGTCCCTGTCAATGTAGGATTGCAGCCTTTTAAAAAATGGTGAAGAACTGCCCACATATGAAGTGATGTGCCCCGAAGTAAAGGGGTGGCCTCAGGAGCGTCTCACAGAAGATGTGAAAGCACTCAACTTTCAGATGTGTCTTGGGGTTAGCTCAACACCGCCGGGGCTGTGTGGATCCTGAGCATCTTGCAGCCTCAGTTTCCCAATCTGTTACAGCAAGATTGACAGGTAACCTTCAAGGCTGCTGTGAATGGACTGTATGAGTGGAACATGGTGAGGGGTTTTCCATGCAGCCCAGCAGGGAGGAGGCTGGACTTGCCTCCCCATCGTCCCTGTGTTGGGGGACTAGGTACATGGAGCCTTGCTGTCCAGCATGCTGAGGTTTCCAGAGAGGCAGAGAGGAAGAAAGTCAGGCTGACATTTACTGCATTATATACAGGTGCTGGGTGAACAAATCTTGGAGCCTCCCTGCTCGATGAGCCAGCAGCTCCATCTTCCCAGACCCAGAAATGGAGAGTGGGAGGGTGGGCCGAAGGGCCTGATGGTCCCAGGCCGATGAGGGGCTCTTCTCTAGGCCTTGGGAGGTGGCAGAGTCTCTGTCATAGACAAAGGTATGTGCAGCCCGCCGGCCTCATGGGCTGCACTGCACACACAGCACCACCGAGTGGACAGCCGTCCACGCCTGGCCCTTTCAGATCAGGCCAGCAGCACCTGTCTTGGTTAAGCAGCGTGTCTAAGTCTGCATGGCAGGTGACCGGTCACTTGAACTCCCAAGCTGGGACTCCAGAGTCTGTGATGTCACAGCCCAGTGTCTGTCCAAGGATACTAATAATGAAAAGGCTCCCTTTCCCCTTTGCCTTTCCCTCCTGTCCACCTGCCAGCTGGACCGAAGGGGGTTAATGCTTTTCCCTAAATTGCCAAAGTTAAAAAAGGAATCTGACAATCCCAGTGTCCTCAGCATCCTCCCCTACCTCGTGACAATGTTTACTTTTTCTCCATTTTGTATTCATTTTCTGTTCATTGGCTCTGGTTTCTACAAATAAAAAGTCAAGGCCTCTGGGTATCTTCCCCAAAGAGTTAGACATCACACTACTGTGATGCTCACTGATTACAGCGACATAATAGCTCATAATGGCTAAACTTTGGATGTCTGTCCATCAACAGATGAATGGATAAAGAAAAAGTGCTCTACAGACACAATAGAGTACTACTTAGCCTTGAAGAAAGAAAAGAAAGTTGTTGGTAGGAAAATGGGTGCATTTTAGACTATAATGCTAAGACCAAGTCATAGAAGGTGAAGTATCGCATGGTTTCTCTTCTAAGGGAAACCCAAAGTATGAGTAATTGAAAACATAATCTGAAACAGAGTTGATGGGAACCAGGGAGATAGACTTTGGGAAAATAGGAATGGGATTTGGGATGGCAGGGAAGGGAGGAGATAAGTGACAAATATAAATGATTAAGATGCAATATGTGTGTGACCAGTTCCCCAAGATGGCTGCAATTATTATGTACCACAAACAGATACCAATAAAAAGTATGAAAGGGCAAGGTCAGCCTCTAGCAGAGACCCGTCCACCCAGGGTTAGCTGTGAGACCAGGACAGGGCGAAGATGTGCTGTTTTCCAGCAGGCAGTGCACACTGATCTTGGAGCAGCTCTGCCTTCCTTTTGCTCCTTGGGGAAGTCTCTGAGGCTCAGGAGAAGGCAGGGACTGAGGAGTTTTAAATGCCATGTGTAAGGAACAGTTGAGGATATGAGGCACAGTTCTACTCCCAGAGAGCCTGCGTGCAGCATTTCTTGTCCCACCTTCTGCCTCATTTATCAGGCATTTACAGTTGATGAGTATAGATTGTCAAGATAATATTATACACTGTGTGTCTGATTCATTTTGCAGCTCCCTCCAGGAAGGGGAAAAAAAACCCTTCTGCACTCTGGGATAATTACTAGAGTTGCTATATCTCCAAATCATCAGGGAGTGTCCAGAATTGAACCGCCTTTATTGAAAAGTTACATCGATTCAATATATAGTAATACAGGCAAAAATAATTAAGGCTTTGCTAGCTATGTAAGACCTTAATCCAGATCTCACAAGCATTCAATAAAGTCTGTATGGGCAGGGAAATAGACGGCTGACAATTTTGCCCGAGAGGACTAGCCATGATGGAAAAAAGAGGCAGAGGGAGGAGAGAAAGAGACAGAGAGAGAGAGAGAGAGAGAGAGAGAGAGAGAGAGAGAGAGAGAGAGATGGGTGGATTGGGAAGCACAGAGAATTTTGGTGATTTGTTGGTGAGCTTAGCAAGTACAACTCAGCAAAAATGCTTTTATGATATTTATACTCCCCTAGATGTGCTGTGGGCAGGAGAAATTGAATAAGCCAATTCCAGATATGGTTAAAAGTTTGGATGCAAGGAAACTATTCTGCCATTTCCCAGAACTGTGACGATTCTAGGAGCTCATCATGCCAAAGCAAAGTCCAGAGGATTGTGTTTACCTGTGACTTTCTACACATCTTGCTTTTGCTGCCCCTTTTTCTACATCAAGAGAAAACTTCCTACTTGGTTCTACCCCAGCAGGGATCGCCCACATCTTCTTGTCTAGATGGAAGAAGCATTAGCTTTGTCCTTGGGTAGAGCATGAGGAGGGAGGATTGGGGTGACTCCCACCCTAGGATGTGAATGCAGGCTTCTGTTTGAGGGGGTCAGCCTTCACCACCGAATAGTCACATACTGAGCACCAAAGGAGGCTGGTATCTAGAAGCAAAGTGCTAATGACGTCCAGGTTAGAATAGATACAAAGACACCCAGGATGGATAGAAAACCTGGCCTCTTATAAGTGATGCCTCGTAAGTCAACAAGTTCAATACCTGGAATTTCCCTTTTTGTTCCAACTAAGTTATTTGGAAATTATTCTGTCCAGCAATGAAAAATTTAGCACTGGCATATTGCAATTTAGTGTACATGTTTCCATCTATCATCTCATTTATACAACTCATTAACATAAGACAACAACAGCCACGGAATGACTCTGGCTTCTTGAGCACAAATTGATCAGGCTTTGGATTCCTCAAGGTTTCAGTGGCTTCTGTGTGTGAGCCCATAGCTGGAGGAAATGGGTTTACTAATCAACGGAGGGCACCGTCTCTCTGGATTGGACCAGATCCTATCATTCTCATCCCCTGTCCCTCTCTCTGTACCACAGTCTTTGACATAAAAGTCTCCAGGTATCATTCCTGTGCTACTCTTTCCTTGCAGCCATGACCGGACTTGTTGTACCCCCCATGTAAAGAGGAGGAAGAACTGCTTTCTCATAGCACAAAACTACTTATTCTGATGGACCGATAATGAGGAAAAAGCATTCTGAGCTCCTTCAGAAGAATCATGCCCCCAAAGGACGTGATGGACGTATTTGGGAATGCAAGGAGCCGTCGTCTTACTTGGTCTTACGTTTTCCCTGTAGCTCTGATGGTAGCTACACACACTGACCCTCTCGGGGACCAGGACACAAATTGTCACTGACGCGGTCAGTGCTGAGTACAGAAACGTGATTCTTTGTTATGAACATTATGAAAACCACCTTCCTATGTTTGTAAAATATTTAAGAAAAAATTGGCAAACAATTCATGCTTAATATTTTGGATACTATTTGTTTTTCTTTGTAGGAGAAAAAAAGTTGAAAGTTTCTATTTTCTATGAAGCCTTTCAGATACCAATTTAGTTTGTGCAGAAAAAAAAATTGAACAAAACAGGGTACCAGCATGGAAGAATTTCTTAAAATGAAACCTGAATTGAATGATGAAATGTTGTATGTGTGTTTGCTTATAGTTTAATCTCTTAAAAAAACAAAAAGGGAAAGATTTTAAAATGTTTTACAGTTATTTAAATAAATAAACGTGTAACTTATTGTAAGTAGAAGTAGAAACTAAGACCTTTTTTTGGAAGAGAAGAGTTTCTCTTCCTGATGTAAAATGAAACTGCAAACATGTAGTAAGGAGTTTTAAAGGTGTGTGATTATTACTACGGTTACTTACTAGACTCTTCCCCCTCATGCCTCCCCTTCTTTTTCTATCATTTTATTGACCCATGAACATGTAACTTATATAGATTTCCTACGAAACAACCCACTGCATAAAAACAAGACGTGAGTACACGCACATACACCAGTACACACACACACACACACACACACACACACACACACACACCCATTCCCCAGCTCTGGTTGTCCCTTTTGGTGTCCATCTGTGAATAGTTTTCTTTTTCTAAAAAACCCTGCATATTAGCTTTCCACATTGTTCCCTGAGCAAGGCAGAGAATTCCCTTGGTTTAGTAAGTATGTCCTGAGCTTTGAGCATCCTAAGGAAAGAAGTGTCTCCAGCTTTGCTCCTCTGGAAATCTTCATTACCAGACACACACACATTTCCTCCTCTTTTGCTGACCTGGCTCAGCACAGAGACCGAAAGCCTCATGGAATTTCGGAAACAGTTTGGAGAAGTTAACTCTGTTTCATGGACTCCTAAGATCAATATTAGAAGAGCCAAATCCTTTGCTTTCTCTGCAGGTTGTCCCTTTTATGTTCTTAAACTTACTTTTTAAAAAAAAAACCCACACATGTCACTTGCTTTGGTTTCTGAGCAATAGTGGGGTAGGATGTGGAGGAGGAAAGTTAAAATCCCTAAGCCCCTCTCCTGATGTTCAGATATGCAGAAATCGAGATGCTTGTCTCCAGAGATGGGGCACCTGTGCTCTCAGGGGCACAAATAACTGGCCCTCTGATGGGCTCCCTGTAGTTCTGTGACGCACTCTTAGGAAGGCCTCTGCAGGAGCTGCTAACAGTGGTTGACTCCCAGAGCCTGTGGGATCCTGGAGACACACACAAATGCCCTTGAGGTGCCAGCAGGATGCCACTTCTACCCAGGTCAGGGTTCTGGTTGGCTCGTTGGCAACAGGTTAAAGTCAATACACAGACTTAGCTTGGGGCTCTTGGTTGGGTTCTAACATTAGAAACATTGGTAAAGCTCTCATGAAGAAACATCTTTGCACTGGAGCCAATTTTAGATGACCCTGTCTGCCTCACTGATCCTTACCCACATCAGCTCAACCCCACAACTGTATTACTTGCCTCTAGTTCACTTCGGAATTATCCCGCGTGATCCACATTTTCTGTATGCACATGAGAATCCAAGGTTTTGGAAATCTGGCATGCTTTTAACTACTGCAGATAGTAGTCAGGGCTGAATGCAGCAAAATACATGGAAGCACAAGAGCAAAATTTCCCCAGCGAACAATTCACAGAAGGGGACGAATCTGCGGAGTGCAAACATCACCATTCCAAAGTGAAGGCAGAACACGGTTAAGCATGTCTAGACCTGGATTTGAGCCAATCCAACATAAGGAAATGTTTTTTTTGTTGTTGTTGTTGGTTTTTTTTTAGTAGCATTGCTTTTAGAACCTGTGAATTTTGCTCTTGCATGAAGATGAGTGCAGTACTGTTCTTCAAAAATGATTGTAGAATTTGTTGGTAGCTTTACACCGGAAAATGTGTGTAACAATAAGTACCAAACATCCTCGACCATTCAGCTAGAACTTCGGCAGCGACAGACCTATTTAATTGTACAAATGTGTGTAAGGATTATTTTTAGTGTACTAATAAATGAAAAGCAAAGCTACTCTGTCCTCTTTAGTCATTGCTATTGACTAGGTTATTTTTATGCCACTTGAAACACAAATATTTCTATAGGTAACTACAAAATTCTATCCTATCTTTGTAAGAGGAGCTGTGTAAGATTTTTCATTTAAAGGAACAATTTACTTCATTATTTATCTCATTTTTTGTTATAGCACCAGAATTCTTCCCAGTTTTTCTTTGCACATTTCAATATGCATGGTTTAAAAACCATTATCTTCTTTACCTTTTGTACAGTAAGGTCTTATTTTCAAACTGTACAGTTTCACTTTATTGTTTTGCTTTGTCAGTTATATACAGTATAAAGTTGCTATGCACAGAGCTTTTTGTAAAGACAGCTTTTTTGTTTACTGTTTTTAATGGTCTTACTTATGTAAGAATATCTTGTTTGTAAAATGAATAATGTCTACTTCAGTTTTAAACTTTAAATTATCCTAACAAAAAATAAAATTTTTGTACTGTAAAAATGACTCTTTTTTTAAGTAAAAGAAACTTAGTTTGAGATTTATCCTTAACTCTTTGAGCACTTACTTATAACTTCTAGTCTATGATTTTTCCTCTGGTTGAGGAAAATTCGTTCAACTTTTGCCTACGTGGAAGCATACCTCTGGAGGAGAGAGTATTAAGACTTTTGGTTAGTTTTCTGTATGTATTTATCTGTGTACCCATTTGGATCAAGTCCTTCTATAAAACACACAAAACTCAGAACATCCTACTTGTTCTATTGGATGTTGATTGGATGGGATTCTTTATTTGTGGGGGTATTGGGAATCAAACTCAGGACCTCATGCTTGCCAGGCAGGTAGCTTAGTGTGCCACTATGCTACATCCTCAGCTCCTGCCTGGGATTCTTGAGGTCCGTGAAAGTCTGTCTTGATTTGAAACTGCTTTATGGTTAGAGGTGGGGGTACAAAGATTGGGTTCCTATTTTCAATCACAGGAAAGGAGCAAGCCAAGAAGGAAACAGACAGTATCTCAAGCAGGAAGATAGAAGAGCTGGAACCAACAGTGGTCAGTGAAATTAGAGGCTGGGCTGGACCAGGCCTCCAAAAAATTCTCCGTATTTTGTAGCACAGGCTGGAAGTGAGTGCTCCAGATGAGAAAACCAACATGAGCAAAGACATACAAAAGAAAGCTTACAAAACACATTCAGGAGAATTCATCTTAAAGATGATTCTCAACCAGAATTCTCACAGTGTAAGTGAGGTATCACATTTCTCTGAATGAGGTCACCTAACCACATAAACCTGCCTTGTGCAGGTAGATGAGAGGCTGTTTCTGCGCAGGAGACTGGGAACACTTGCTTTAGCTCTTCTTTTCCTGTATGTGTGAGTGGCTAGAGCCTTCTCATCCTTCAGCCTCGGTTTAGATGTCATCTTCTCAGAGTTTGGGCAGTTCTGCTGTGCTGGTGCTCCTGACACAGAGAGGTCTGGAAGAGAACAGCTGAGATTTGGGCAGGACCCTGTGCCATAGTGACATTAGTCAGCTGCTTCTGGTACAAAGAGAACTGGCAGGAGATACTGGGGCTAACCCAAGCCTCTGCTTGGGGCCCAATGAGCGGATACAAAATAGTCACAACTCAGTGACAACCAGAAAGTACAGCCTAATTTAGGAACTAACTGGCTCAGAGGCTAGAGACTAGCCTGTACTGCCCCTGCATCCCAGCCTACCCCAGATAACAGCAAATTGGGGAGGACAGCAAAAACTCAAGCCAGCACGCTTCTGAAAGGCCCTAAGCAAATCGGAGAGGGCCAGAGAACTCCAGGACAGTCTGAAAAAAACCAGAAACATGACAAGAGATAAAAATAAAAAAAAATCTCCAGCTGCCCAACAGGAGAAAATAAGCCCAGGAGAAGTAAACACCGAAGAGAACAAGCACAGTAGCCATCCACTACTCGACACAGCATCAGCTGAAATTAAAAAGTACCTACATGATCTCATAGAGGAATTTAAAGCTGTACTCCTGATCCAAGTGAGGCAAGATATAAAGAGATTAATTAAAGAAATGACAAGCCCCACCCAAGAGAACACAGATGGAAGAACTGAGGAAATCAGAAAAGAAAGAGAAGCATCTGAAGAAGAATTTAAGCATAACTTAGAATACATGAAACAGATCCAAAGAGAATATCAGGAAACTAAAAACTCCATTGAACATTGGCAAAATGCCTTGACAGAAACTAAAGATAGCCTTCTGAAACTTGAAGAAAGATTTAGGACATATGAACGTGAAAGAAAAAGCCTCTTAAAAATAACAAGGAACCAGAAAGAAGCAATTCTAAAACTGGAAGATGACAAAAAGATACATAACCTAAGAATAAAGAATGTGAGTGAGGAAGCAGGAACATCCAAAAATGAAATACAAAAAATATTCACAGAGATATTAAAGCAAAATTTCCCATGTATAGCAAAAAGAAATGATATCCAGATAAAAGAAGCATACAGAACACCAGCTACCTACAACCAAAACAGATCTACGCCTAGACATATAATAATCGAGATCCCAGAAATCCACCAAAAAAACAGAATATTAAAAGCAGCCAGAGAAAAGATGCAGGTTACCTATAACGGGAAATCTATCAAAATAACAGCAGACTTATCAACACAAACTCTTAAGTCAAGAAGGGAGTGGGGAGAAATATTCCAAGTCCTGAAAGAAAAAAATATGCAACCAAAGTTCATATATCCATCAAAACTCTCTCTAAAAATTAATGAAGAAATAAGATACTTTCAAGACAAGGAGGAACTGTGGGAGTTCGTGGCCACCAATCCAACCCTACAGAGAGTGCTGAAGGACATTACAGAGAAAGAGAGGAAGAGATATCAGGATTCCAGCTACAGTGGCAGAGAGGCCTCAGTGTACGGGGCAGACCATGGAATGAGGGAATAAGGTGGACAAATTATAGCAGAAAAGTGTAGTAGCAGACATGAGGCAGAGATGGTAAGCTAGTCTTTAGTAGAGACAGCTCTGAAACTATATTTAAAAAAAAAAAAGCAGAGGTCATTGCTAATGGTGTATAACGATTTAAAAGACACAGTAGTCCTAGTGCCATATTTAGATTGAATTAAATTTGTTCTGGTCTGTCCGCTCATGTCAGATTTGAGGACACAGACATCTTGACCCAAAAATAGCAGGCTATACCATGGTAACTATCCTTACTTTCCTATTAACTTAAGCTGAAATCCTATAATACTTAAATTGTCTTACTATGACTGATCTTAATTGAATCTGAATCGTAAGACTATGGGTTGACCATGGCTGATTTTATTTGAAATTGGTATGCTTGTCAGTATCAACCCTAAAAGTAGAGGCAACTACTCTGAGGATGACAAGTTGTAAAGAATATCCAAACTGGTATTAATTAGTAACAGCTTCCAAACCCTACAATGCTGCCAAAGTTAAGTTTTTATAAAAATAGGTGAGACTATATTTAACTATAATAAGCCAGTGTGGTGGTCAAATCTATTGAAAATAACAAGAGGAAACATAGTAACTATGGAAGATCATCTATATTGTGGTCTTAAATGTTTTATCCATTGCATGTTTTTCTAGGAAATTGTTTTGCTGGCTTGCTATGACTTGGTATTCCCTATAACACAGAGAGGATAGATATATATGTGGAAATTCACACATGGGTTCTTTTTTCTTTTTAATTATTTATGGGAATAGATTATATAATGTAAGATGTAATGAACAGATACTCTGAGGAAGAGACACTAGGAAACTCGAGGCTAATTTAGTAGCATTATGATAGAAATTCTAGCAATACTAATGTTTGCTGATTAGAATGACATTGGACTGGTTTCTTGAGTTCAATTTCAGCATATGTAGAGATGGGGACAGCTATCACAAAGAGAAGGAGAGATGAGTTGGTAGTTACTATTGTCTTCCCTAATTTGGTACTTGAGGACCTAAAAAGTCTTCAATGATTTGATTAGTTCTATAATATACACTAAGTATATAAGGTGGATGAAGAAGGGGACAACTATTTGTAAAAAATTAGAGACAGTTAGATAGAAAATCAAGATCTCCAGTGGGCTTCCTATGAAATCTGTATTTCTTTAAATTGTTTTTTTAACTGCTATGTTCTGTTTTGATATGTTAAATCTTACCCTCTTTGAGAAGTAAAACAAATGTGTAGGACTGATAACGATGTTACTGAGCTCTTGTTCGATCATAGAGCAGAAGGGTTTGTAGTGTCACTTTATGAATGTCATTCTAAATGCTTCAATTCCATAACATGAACAGCTACTTCTAAGATGACAATGTGTAACTTATCAACCAGCAATTTCTTACCGTTTGTTTTTCTGTAAGTTTGTATCATTTCTACCCTTTTTAAAAATCTCCATGTATTCTTTTGTTTCCTTTTCTTTAAATAAAAAATTTAAAAAAAAAAAAAAAAAAAAAAAAACAAGGCCTTTGCTGAGAGTGATCAGAGATGCAGGCGCCCCCATGTGTCTCTGTAACCGAACTCTGTAGTGTCCTGATCCTAATTCCCATTCGTTGGTCATTTTCCTATTGGTGTCTGCCTTCACTTTAGACATGAGGCACCTGTGGGCAAGGACTGTACTGGTGTCCAGTTTGCTCATATGTGAAGACCAGAGCCCAGGCCTGTGGTCTCAAGAGTGCTTGAAGGAGTAGTGAATGTGTGGTTCTGCTGTCCTTTGCTATATGGTACACTACTTTGAATGACTTCATAGGGTTTATATTGTCAACCAGTTAATCAAAAAGACTGTGAAGTGTGCCCATAGTGGAACCTGGCTGGCTGCTTATCAAACCCAGAAAACCTGCAGAGGGAAGATTAGGAAGAAGTGGCCTCTGGCCAGCAGCCCTATGGGTAGCTTGCTTTGCCCACTATCCTTGGACCTTATCCCATATGGATTCCATTGCTCTGAAGAACTCCAGTACCAAGATCCAGATCTTTTAGGAAGAAGTGCATTCCATTCTTAATTCCAGGAAGATATTTAATTGGTAACCAAACACTTGAGTCTCAGAGAGAGTCTGCATACACCAACTGTAAGAGGCTCAGGCTGACTAAACGGGAGCATCCTGCGATTTGAGACTGAGTGCAGAGCAGGTCACAAATCACCTTGTTCCCATGTAAGGAATATGGGTTTCCTGTGTAGGGCTGGATTTCAGGTGATGAGAAGCAGAAAGGAACTTAACTCAAGCAATAACAAGATCAACTTTATGCTTCAGAAAATACCAGTACCTACAGTGTGACTTGTAGGTTGGAGAGAGCAGATGTTGGATAAAGGGGAGCAGTCAGACAAAGTCAGAGGACAGCAAAGAAGCACCAGTGGGCTGAAACTTTGCTCAGGGATGGTGTGGTCTGAGTGGTCCGCATCAGTGTCTTGCTCATTCTTTCATGTTTTAAAATCGCTCTTGCCTTTAGGACACTATGGCAAAAATCCAGACAACAAGGTCTCCTTCCTTAGCCAAGACTTGGAATTAGAGACGGAAAGGAGAGGAAGGATAGGACAGAGGTCCCTACACTCTGATGGACTTACTTCGTTAGACATAGGGATGGAGGACAGAGGGACTGGCAATTTGCTAGTTAAACAGTCGGAGTTGTGGTGTCATGAACTGAAGCAAGGAATAAAATGGGGACCACACTGGGGGTAATGAAAAGAGGCAATGATTTGAGACATTGGAAGTTTTTCTATGATTTCTTCTTGCCTTTAACTGAAGATTGTCTTCCATGAGCATATTCAAGAAGGACTAAGGAGAATTGTACTCATTGGCTTATTGGTTTTTTTTAAAAGATTGCTGTATTTCGACTTGAGTGTCCCTTTGGCTGAGTATAAAATTTCTGGGGTTACACTTTATTGGAGCGAGGGAGTTGGATTGTTTCATTTTGTTTGTTTCACTACCTTCTCGTGTTCATATTGCCCCGGGAGTGTTGGAAGCCTCACCTATCTTTCTCATGTATTCCTTTTGCTTGTATAAGAAAGACAACTCTAATTTATTGTGTGCTTCATGCCAGTTTTGAGAATAAGAGAGGCATGCAATAAATAATTGTGCTTGGAAACAGATGTGAACTGGGATCAGCCCATGATCACTCTCCTGGTAAGTGGTTTGGTAATCTTGTCTGCACACCCAAAGTAACGTCACCAGGATAGCTCAGTGCTGGTGTTCCGTGTCCTTCCCTGCCGCCCCTAGTGCATCCACTCCAGTATCCAGCCTTCCTTTTCAAAGTGTTGGTTCAGGTCTTTTATTTCTGGACACTTCGCTTTCGTTGACACTGAAGTATGTTCCCTGTTCCTTCATTCTGGTCCTTCTTGCCAAAGGCTCTAGTTCTATCTCTAGTCTCCATCATTCAGGTCTGTTTCATTTTCCTCTGGTATTTGGTATTTATATTTCATTTGTTTCTTCTTTCCCTCCCCACTCATAGTATATGTTTATAAGTCATATTTTGGTGTCTTTTGATAGTATTCATCTGACACAAGAGAGCTTCTGCTGGACAAGCTATTCATCAAGTCTGACTCTAGCAACTGCTGGTCTAACCCCAGTCCTGTCTGGCTTTCCCAGAACCACCATCCCCTTCTCTGAAAGTTGGATTTGGGTACCTCATTTTTCTAGTTTCATCAAAATTGGAATTTAAGGTTTTCTTTCTCATTACTCTCCCTGTTTTGTGAATGATTCTAGGAAGGAATTGATGGAAAAAGTTCTGTGATGGTATTTCATGCCATAATCCACAAGAACAGAGGGCTGCATAGTACTGTGAGAAAGGAAACCTTATTTTGTCACCATATAGCATCTTCTTTTGATCTTCCAGCTTGCCTTTGACCACTGGCTCTGTGATCCAACTCAGTGGTTATATCCTTCACTTTCTCCTCTGGATTTTGTCCGATACAAATAATAAGTTACAAATAATTTCCAAAACAACAAATAAAAGTGGATCTTCTGCTGAAATCTGTAATAAAGACACAAACAAGGATCGTTGATGCCTTCAGTGGCACATAAGCTATAACACTTGTGGCAGAACTTTGGTAAGTCCCCTAAAGCAGATTGCCCTTCAAACAACAAACCCTTATTTGCTAAATAAATCTTAGGAGAAGACAGAGTGATAAAATGGAAATAGCCACGTTTCAGAGATGTGGATTTAAATTGAAGACCTACCACCCTTAGCTATGTAATCTTGAATAAATTACTGCATTGAGTCTTAATATTCTTGATCACCAAACAAGTGTACATAAGATAACTACAGGCACACAGTCAATCTTATATTCCCAGCACATACCACTGTGTTTGCCTTGAGCAGGCACTGAATAAAAACTGAACAATGGAGCGAACATGTAAAATTCCTACATACGCTAAAGGCTCAGCATATTCAACATTAGT